GTGCAGCTCACCTCGCGCCTTTCTGGTGCATTCTGGCGCCCAATACTGGGGGTGGGCAATAAATCAGCAATTAGATGGTCTAGATGTCTAGTTGCTTAAACCATCCTAGATATCTGAGCCAAAAATTGGCATCATCATTGAAAGCACTAGTCGTTTTTCTGGGTTCACTAGCGGAAAAGTATCCTCGATGTTTGGACACACCCAAAAATAAATGTTGACCTACGCATCCCAATCAAGCGTTGGACACAAAATGGCACACACTTTTTGACCCAAAATATGTTCAATCAAGAACAGATCCTGGAAGGAATGCCCTGTGGAATGAAAGCCTCCATTCCTCGTGGCTCATGCCTTTACACCTCAGCATCACCTCAGCTCCCCAATCTGAGGCCAGGATGCCCCCATGCCTCCCAAGCAAGGTGTCGCAATCACCAAGAAACTTGAAGTTCACTGGCCCGAAGACGCTGTCAGCCTTGCCCTTGTTCAGGCCCAGGCCGCCTAGGCCGCCCAAGCCCAAGTTGCCCAGGTTGCCCAGGTTGCCCAAGTTGCCCAGGCCCAAGTTCATCGATGACGAGAAGGGCACACCCTGAGCCTGGCACAGCACAGTTTCATGGTGTTTCTGATTTGTTTTTGCCGCAAAGATCACGAATCATCTTTTGGGAGTGACTATTTCACCAGAATTTCAGGTGATGTTTGCTCCAAAAAAAAATTGGAAATCACATTTGGGGATTCCAGAACAGCTGATTCTTGTGAGAACTGGGAGCACGTCGGGCGGCCGAAACAGGCCAAATCTGGCTCTTCTTAGGTGTTTCGATACTGGTGTCCCCGCACCATCTGCAACCAACCAAATGTTCAGACATGTTCTTTCACCAGTACCTTTGTCTATTAAATCCATGGGTGTAGATGGGAAATGTGTGAAACCCAATTTCAAATCCAAAATTGGTTCAGATGTTACCCACCCCAATCATCAGTTCCTCTATGGTCCACGACCGATTGAATTTCTTCCGTTTTTGATGCACAGGTCTTCCAGGGTCAAATATTAAATCAAATCAACTGGTAACCACAATTGCTCAACGGAAGGTGCAGGTAGCCACAATCAGTTGCCTTCAGAACTCTGTATCCAGTATCACTTGTCAGAAACCACTGGGTGAATTTACCATAATTTACCCAAATGGTTTCTAGATTTCTATCCTACAGGCCCTACCAAAAAAATGAAAACGTAGTTCTCATGTTGCTACCGTCAGGTTTTGCTGGGGAAAGACCAAGTCCTCCCACTTCCCACTGGGTTCCCGCACATAGGACATGGGCGGAGTGCTGGTGCTCGAATAGGTCACTGGAGGCAGAGTCCTGCAGGGAAAGGGGAACCGCAAGCAAGACTCGCAGTTCCACGTTCGAACAATTTCATGAACTGCCACCCAAACAAACATTTGCGTTGAATTTGTAGTTGAATACCACATTATCCCTGTAGGAAAAAGATGGAAACATGATTTTGGACATTGGTCAAGCTATTGAACCGCAATGGATGGTTCCACGTACAGAGTGACGAGCCAAGCCTGTGAGTCAAAAGGGTCTTCAATGATTCCCAACTCACATTCACCAAGGCTCCCCTCTAATCCTTTCACACTTCAACGAAATGGATCTAAGTATCTAAGTGAGTGCTCCTCAACATTCGGCACTGGCACCATTTTTTGATCAAACCAAATTGTGATCCCCAAAGTCTCAATAGGGTACCCCGAACTTCTATGCTAAATCATAACTATATATGGTTTGATAAAATAGCCAGATTACGGGTATACAGTGAAACCACCTCAAACCTACTGCAATAAGAACTTCAGGGGCTGGAATTGCTGGCTTCAACCTTTCTGTCAGCTAATTGAAATAAGAACCCTAGGGTACCCTGGAATTCTAGCCGCTTGTACTTGTTCTTATTCCCCTTTAACGGGTATCAATATACCAAACATTATTTATTAAGCAGCTATTTCTCAAAAGAAAAATTATGCACCGCGGAACTTCCATGCCGAGGACAAACACGATACGGCCCCAGGAAGATTCGACCCCTTACAGGGTCACCAAGGCTAATGCCAACAGCTTCAGCTAGACACAAGCCAGGCTCACTGTAGGTCATCTGACCTCGGAGGCTGCCCTTGGCTTGTCTTGGCTTGTCTTGGCTTGTCTTGCATGTGCTGCCTTGTTTCGGGCGCCCAAACCCTGAAACAACTTTTCGGAGCCTAAACAAATTGTTTCTTCCCCCCGCGTCCTTTGCAACCTAATACCACGCAAAAATAAACTGTCAAACCTTGGCGTGGTGGGATATCTGGCCCATAGCTCTGTTTGGAATGCCAGCACCTGAAAACTGTTTGGGACCCAAAAAGTTGTTTCTTCCCACCGCCTCCTTTGCAACCTAATACCTCGCCAAAATGAATTGGCAAAACCCTCACCATATGAACCCCTTAAGAACTAACCCATTAAGAACTTGAGGGTACCCTCCTTCATAATTCCCATATTTCCATCTAGAGCACTTAAGAACCCCACGGTAGGCTGGAAAATTCTTGATCGGTTCTTATTTAACGGTTCCGCTGTACCCCATTTTCAGACATACCCCCATATTTTTGGTGATGTATCCCGCTATATCCCATTGTCTCTCGCTAATTATATCCCATTATGATTGGCATGTTATCCCATTTTGATTGTTCAACCCCCATGTTCACCCATTTTTGTTAGTGATACATGCCATTCCATCCCCACTGCGGTTACTTAGAATGGTTCTTAAAGTCTCACTTCCAGCATCCAGCTTCCGCCCACCCACTTCACGCCCAGTCCTAGTGGGTGCCGTCGTTGTAATGGGTGCACTGGTGGTGATTGGAGCTGCAGTGACCACCGGCGTGGTGACTGGCATGGTCACCGGGGCGCTGGTGTAGGTCACCGCTGCAGGGTAAACCTGGGACTTGGAAGAAATGGGGCGAAAAATCTGGGGAAAATGACTCCATACGAAATGCCATATAAAGGGACCATGTTTGATGGATCATGTGGATCATTTACAATGGGATTCCGGGGTTCCCTATTGTCAGGCACAACAACTGCGTATGACAATATAATCATATAATTTCTTCCAAAACAAGTAGTTTTTTGTGGGGTACAAACCCAAAGCCAATTTTTCCTTTCTAGAGTTTGTAGCCAGGATATCTAGGATACACCATGGAAAGACGTGTGTCTTCTCCATATCTGCCAAACTGATCAGAAAGCGAACATCACCCAAGACCCGAAGCAGGGCAATCCAAAATACCGCCATTTGAAATGAGGAAGTGAATCATCAAGTTCTAACTCAAGGATGTTTGCTCAGGTTTCGAATTCAAAGCAATGCAATTGAACTCGTCTCTCTGTGTCTAATACGTATCCTCTCTACCTAACTGTCTGTTAAACATATATGTACAATCGAGCAAGCATTGAAGACATACCCTGTGGTAATTTAACATTGCTATTGAAAATTGCCATTTATATATAGTTGATTTATCAGATGATTTACCCATTGAAAATGGTGATTTTCCATAATTGTGTTAGTTTACCAGAGGGTATGTCATCAGTATCACGCCCTGTCTGATGCCAAGATGCAGCGTCATTACTTTGCGACAACGATCCGCTGAACCTAAGAGCAGTGGACGGACCTGTCCATTTTGGCAGCTTCTAGGGGGAAATTATCTACAAATGAGTACTGATTATATAGTATTGATCCACTATTATGTATCGGATATCCCACGTTTTCAGACTTAATTACTATAAATGGATATATCACATCCGTAAATGGGCGTGTCTGAAAATGTGGGATATCCCAAAAAATGCTATTTAATTACTGGGGAAAAATAATGAGAAACCATCAAATTTGCGGGATACACTATTTTGAGACAAATCCAAATGTATTCATCAGGCATATATATATATATGACGCATTGTCTTCCTTGATTATCAAAGGGTTCTCACAATCTTTCGCATATTTGCGATTGGAAGTACTTCCGGTCTTGGCACAACAACCTGATGTGATTCTTTGAGCCTATGAACAAACACGTTCTAATCCCTTATGAAGCAAATCCTAGTAGAAATTCCATCCCCTGGTGAATTTACCCTATTCATATGGATTTAATGAAAATTGGTGGCTATATGATATGCCATTTTCAAACAAAGCCATGTTATACATTTTTTGTGCTATGAAGCACTCATAGTGCCAATGGCTCATTTCTGGCTGCCATGAGCTGCTGGAAGCGGGGAAATCAGAAAAACCTCTTGGGGTGTCCTACCGCCTTAAAGGGCACCTCTCCTTCCATACCTTCCATAGCTCCACAAATTCACAGAAACTCACCCTGCCTTCCGCTAATCAAAGGTGGCCCATGGAAAATCTACTATTTATAGATGAATTTCAACTGAATTTCTCATTAAAACCTCTCACTTATAGGGGGTGGTCCATTGCTACATTTGATTACGGGAGGGTCAACAGCCCAGAAACGTTGGCAACGTGGCCATTTGGGAATCCACTCGACTTCGGAGGGTTTGGCGACGAATCAGCTGCCTGTCATGGAACCCCCAAAGCTGGGCTCTGGAAGATGAGTTTCCTATCCCAGATGCTCCATGTATAGTATAGTTACCTACATTTGGCTCATTTATGGGGTAAATGTTGGTAAATATTCCATACATGGAGCATATGGATATATCCAATATGGCCGTTTTGGGGTTCCATGTTTAGAGGTTGGAAATCCGAGTGTACCCAGGAGCCTTTTTTTCCAATCCTAGCGGCTGAACTATGACATTCCTAGCTTGTATAATTATATTTATATTTGTTTATGATACTTTATGACATGTTGGTTTTTACGAGTGTCAGATCATAATTCAAAATAACATCATCATACTGGGAATAGAATGTCTAGGATTTGTTTTAACCTGGGAACTCATTTGCATCATTCATTCGTCCGTTAACCAAACGAAAGACATGTTATGTTGTGGGGCCAAACATCACCAGATCCAGCAAGCACAAAATCGATCTGCCTTCAGCTTGTCGTGGCCCAAGCTGTGCAGTTTGAGCCAAACGGTATTTTTCCACAGGCAATCCTACTTGGGGGTGTATCTCAGTTGGTAAGTGGCTAGCAATTTTGAAATCATCGATACTATAAGCCATACTATAGTCCATATTGTAAGGGATAATAGTAATAATCCATTCCATACGCCATATGGGGTTTGTCTGAAAATACAGGGCCCGAAACTTCATGGTGTGTCAAGGTTTATCATCATATTCCCTATTTGACATACTATGTTTAGGTATATCTGAGTTTCATTACCATATTAACAAACACTTAGAGTGGCTAATTGGGATGCAATCAAGTACAGGAGTTCTGCCGGTGAACTTGATGTGGAAAACACGGGAAAAGCAAACAATAAACCCAGCCGTTTTGTCACCTGGGTCCCATTTGTTTAAGTAATTTCATACCATTTGGAGGGTTATAAACTTAAAGACATGCGGTTGATTATTCTGGCCTTCCACTTTGTTGCGTGATGTATTGAAGCTGCACGTGAAGTCAGGCCTACAAACACACCAATATCATACTCACTACTCACCGTTTTGCGGAATCCTCAATTTCTTCAAGTTGGTTCCAGGAAGAATCACATCAGAGACTGGCAAGAATCTTTGATCGAAGAATCATAGCAACCTCCCAGAAAGAAAGGCGAAGTAGAGAAAAGCATCGAAAATCCTACTAAAATTTATTTTGTGAAATGTGAAATGTCCATGTGAAAATCTTCTATCTGTGGCACAAGACATCTATCCCCACTGTATCCCCACTGGTGTCTCCAGACACATCATATCCGTCGTTTCCATCATCGCCATTCCACCAGGTTTCCTGCGGGCGTTGGGAGGACATCTCTTTTTCCACGAGTTTGGTCTCAAGTGGGGAACAGGGACCATGATATCTATATATATATATATATATATTAGTTATAGTGAATGGGGATTCATATATCTATATATAATATATATATAATTATATATAGTCTATGGTAAATATCTAGCCATTAAATATCCGGACTAAGTCAGGGGGGTACCCCCAACTCATCCAAGTCAGTAGACCATTCTAGTATTGAAACCATTTGAAAACTATGATAAAGTGGGGGTCCCCCAATTTAAGAAACCCCCAGATGTGAAAACAAAATAAAACAAACATGTTTGAAAGTTGATTCTGCATGATTGCCACTATAATCCCCTAAAACCCCAATTTTAAGGGCGCCTGTCTATCCATCAAGCCGTGTGCGCCCCTAAAGGCGCGTGGGAAAAACAGCCTCACTGGCCCCAATTCAAAAAACAAACATTCTCAAGTGGGTCTTGAAAGACGTGACACATCATATGACAAAAAACATTGTTTTTAGTGTCCGTCCATGAGGATCATTTGCCAATGCGGGTGTCAACCTATCCCAAAGATAGATAAAGATAGCAGTTCAACCCAAGTGAGCCATGAAAAATACGCCGATCCCATTTATCCCATGTCATTATACTAGTTGGTTGATAGAATTCCCTACTAATTATTGGTCATGACGATCTTGATTAAACCAGGTAATACAATCCTTTTATAACCAATCCACCGTGGTATTTTTCATGGCTCAAGTGACTGCACCCCTGCACCTTGTAGGCCTCTTCTGCAGCCTGAAACTTGGCTTTTAAAGGGGTGAGGGTGTGAAAATAGGCGACTGCACAAGCAAAAATAAAATGTGTGCAAATAAGCACCAAACACGGGTATGGCTCCATTCAAACGAAGATAGAAATAGATACACAGCACAATGATACACAGCTATTGTGGTCCTCACCATTAAAGAATATTAAAGATCTAGGATCATCTAGTATCATTAAATTTTGTGGCACGTGATTATGACCAATATCACGTGAGTATTAATACCCTGCCAGCCGACGGTTGCTTATGAACTGCATAGAATTCCTCCATCCAACATGTGCTTCAAGTCCATGTCATGTAACCCCAGGGATCAAATGCCATTTCTATTGGTCCCATTGTCTTCCATCATCACCAGGGCATCCTGGTCGCCTCCTTCGCCTTATTGGGGCACTGCAACAGTTGTTGGATCAGCGCCTGCTCAAAATGGCGCCAGAAAAACGTGGAAAATCCATGAAAATCCAATCACCATCCCGGAATCCACGATCCAAAAATGGGCCTCTACACCACGATCCACGTCCGGCACATGGCCAGGTGGGGCATGGGGCCTGAAAATGGATTTCAAAGCTTGACCCACATCCATTCAGCAATTGATTCCCTTCATGGAAGTATGGGAAACACAATTGGGATCTCAACTTTCATAGGTCTCGAGAGAAAATTTATGAAAATTCAGACTATATAAATCCGGCATTGAAAAAATGCAGGCTCCTTTCTGTTCAATTGGCTGTTCTTCTGTGACTCGCATACAAATCCAAGATGCCTCAAAGATGCCAAACTAGCCAAGGTGGATTTATACATCGACCACCAATAGACAATTACATCAATTACAAAATTGCACCCATCTGTCAGCCTTAAATAATCCAAAAAAGACACTCTGACAGGATAGTGACAGGATGTGCCGCCCCAACGAAACTCACCTGCCGTTCTAACCAGGTGCCCCAACGTCAATGCGGCCAGTGTGCAGCCTAACGCCTAGTTAGGCAACGTGGCCGTGGCGTCTTGAGGCTTGCGTCGTGATGGGACGTGCAGCGCTTCTTCAGTTACAATATGTGGATGTGTCTGAATATGGAGTTTTTACATAGTTTATCCATCAAAATGGACTATAAAAATCAACAGTCAGTAATGACATAATGGGATAATCATGGGATATAATTAGTGGGATATTTATGATATATATATATATATATGAACCAATATAATTTAAGTGCATCTGAAAATATGGTATACCTACAAATACCATTTCAACGGGGAACATGAAGATTAACCAATGAATGAAATGGATGCATGGAATGGGGTATCTAATTCTCGGACAAATCAATGTGGGTATGGAACAGAAAACAACTGGTGTGTAAATTGGAATAAATGGACCCACTCATACCCACAAAATGGACCACTTGGGTCCAATTGAGTGCGTTTGATCCAATTCCAAACAGATTGTTTGATTAAAAACATATTGCAGTTTTGAAACAAATGGATCATAAGGATTCCCAGTTCATGGGTTGTGATAATAATTCTCTATATATTGGTGAGTATAATCCCCGAACTGTTGCCGAAAAAAAAAAAAAAAACTACCAACCTGGGTTTAGCAGCCACTGCTCAATTCACCAGTCAGAATCAGGAATCATCCGAATATCCAGGTGTTAACTATTGTTAATTACAATTAACACTAATTTAATCAGAAATTCATTCCAAAAGTAACATAAAGTAACCATGAATTACTATTATATAGTAAATATATTATCTGGTTGGTGGTTTCAACCCCTCTGAAAAATCTTAGCCAATTGGGATGATTATTCCTAATATATGGAAAGTCATAAAATTCATGTTCCACACCACCAACCAGTTATTGATTAATGTTACCCACCGTTATCGATGGTATCAACCCCAGGCCTTCACAGCGACTCTCTGCAACTTGGCTTCGTCTCCCGGGTTCCTGATATGGGTTCATCAGATGGCATCCGCATCCGATCCGCTTGGGGGTCATAATTTGAGACCCAGTCGATGACCCAATCGACCCAGTCGTTGTGTCAAAATGGTCAAACTCTTCAGGGTTTCTGGTTGGTTTCTGGTTGGTTTCTGGTTGGTGAAACCCAATCCATAATGATCTGCTTGAAAAAACATGTACAGTTCGCACAAGAAACCCGTGTAGTCGGGGAAGTAGGTTTGGGAACCTTGCTGACTATCCCTCAAGTGATAAACCCGCCGCAACTAGAAGGGATGACGCTGCTACATTACATCTACCTACTTATGAGATCTTATGAGCAAACATAATGGTGGTTCTGTGGGGTTTATACAGAACTAACTTCCATGTGCTAAAACATGTGTTGGATAAACATAGTGCATCTGCTTGCTGGATGGCAATGACCACTACCCATGGCTGAAGTAAATGGGTCTTGCCGTTGTATGGAAGACATGTTTTACCTTCAAAAATGATGTGATCAGTTGTTTGCAGACAACTGATTGGAATGAAGATTGGATTTTCCTGATATTCCGATGTTATATATTGAATATTATTGAAATATGGTCATGTATGTTTGCCATATTCTGTCATTTTCTGATGTCCCTATATATATTTCCCTCATCTGAAGTCTCGCTCATCCATACCACACTGTCGACCCATTGTGGCCCCCAACGTGATGATTTCAAGGAGAAGAACTATGGCAGCCTCGGCAGCTCCCGTAATCCGACGATCTCACAGCCACGAATGCTCATGCCTTGTACTCTTTTTTTGGCTAGTTGAATATGGCTCAAAATCATTCAAAATCTATGGGTCAAACCATCAAGCCTGTTGTCTTAAGTTGGTTTTCCCACGACCAAAAAAAAGGGCTTTTTATAACTCATAACAACAAATAAAAGAAAATCATAGAATTTCTATGGATTTAGGGTAAATATATCATGATATATCTACAGTTAGATGGGCCATGGTACGTTAGTGAAACACCTTCCGGCTACAGGGCACCACCCTGCAACTGTGGTGCGCCTTGGGGTCCCCGCTGGAAGCTTTTGTAGCTCTTCCCGGTCGGAGGCCTTAAACGCGCACCTCGGCCCGGTGTCAGGTGCCAACCTCCAAGCACCGCATGGATGATCCACAAATGACTGGGCAAATTATAATAATTCACTAACCTGAAATAAGACCATATTTGGATAATTCCCCGGATCCTAACCATTATTCCAGTGAGGTCCCAGTGAGGTCGTTATAATTTACCCAGATATATGGGTAGCCATATGACTCGGCTATAATATGGTTACACCGATTAAGTGGGATGCGCCGGGGCTGGTGAAATGGTGCACTTTTTAAAAGTAGCAGAATGGGGCGTAACGGTTTAATCAACCATGGTTTGTTATTCCAGGGTTGACACTGGGGATAGTTAGAGGAGGATAGTTTTTAGAGTTTTCCCAAATCCCTTCATCCAAGTCTAGGATAGGTGGGAATGGTTCAAACTCAGCTTGCTAGAAATGGCCAATACCCTCACAAATGCTGGTCCCCACATATTTATCGCTGACAAACAGCTGTTCTTTTTCCTGATCGCAGGGTCTTGCCATCCACAGGGATAGGCTCTAAATAATTCTATAAACCATAGCCCAAAGCATGGGCAAACGATGGCAAGCGCAAGGACATGCAAGAAGCCTCCTGCGCTGAAAATTGTGAGCAGACATGGATTCAGTGGGAACTTCAATCTGTTTTGGAAAGAGGACAACCCACAACATCTGTCTCCTTCGCCATAGGTCTCTGAAAGACTGTCCAACGGACGTTATTGATGAAAGGAAATGTTCGTTTACGCTCCTGTAAGCTTCTAGGCGAAGGTTAGACTGATTTTATTGAAGAATCGCTGCACTGATGTTTCAATCGTATGGTATTCCATTTTCATATGTTTTGGTCGTTATTCACTACGGATGATAGGTTCGATTTACCCTTCCAGCATGTCACCATGTCAGGCTCCATTTCAAGGAATCTTTCCTTTGGGCCATGGTGGCCCTTGGATGCCCTTGGCATATCCAAAAACTCGTGTATGGCAGCAGAAGCCATACCAATCTGGAAAAAAAAACTGGCTGGTGGCATCAATTGCGCCGCGAAAAACGAGACAAATTGATGGTCAAAAAACACTTCGAAGCCAGTCTTCCGAAGGCTTGAACAAACATATATTTGACACGTTTTGACACCACCAACTGAGAAAACTTTCCAACACCTCCAGGTCTGACCAGGCCCATCCAGGCCCTCTATAGTTGCCAGTCTCAACGTGCTTCGGCCGCTTCCTCTCTGGCAGCACCTAGGCCGCAGGCAGGGCCAACTGACCAGTGGAACAAAGTCCAGATTCCGAGAGTTATGTTCCCTCAGAATATATAATATATGGTACAATGTGGGGCCCCCCAGTTATAGGTTGGTTTATAAGCCCCGGTAACTATAGTTATAAGTACCATAAACCATAGTTATTGGAGTTATAAACCAACTTAGCTATCTAGGGGGCCCCACTTTGTATAGTCTTAACAATTTTAATGGTACTTCATGGCATTTTGATATATGTTGGTCATTTCAGTACTTTTCCAGACCTTCCAAAGGTCTGGGTGTAGGAAAAACCATCGGGAAAACGGGAAAACCATCTCCTAGAAGGTCCTCAGGAAAGGATTCTGTTCCATAAAGCCAACATGATGTTAACATGGCTGCCATGGTGGCTCCCCTCGTTCCGTGTTTGTCGTGTTTGGCTTATCAAGTTGGCTGACACGGCCATAGACACAGAAATGACCTACAATCATGAGAGAAGCAGCATTTGAGAACAATATTATTGACTTGCATCGTGGGATTCCTTCTTCCAATTCTTCCAAAAGTTCACCCGCCACCGAAACACGAAGAGATAACGATATGATCTGCTGTTTGCAAGCTCCAACAGTTACACAGAACCTCTGAGTTCCGAATGTGTAGCAACTCGGCGCCATGTGCCAAGACACTTGAATAGCTCCACAGGATACCCAGCAAGACCACCTCCAAAACACGCTGGGAGTCCATCATCTACGAAAGGCTATCATACCTTCCAGCATCTATTCTACGTTGCTATAGAATGTTTGAATCTGTATACTATAATTATATCAATATCATATCATATATAATTTCTAGATTATGCATGATGTATATATACATATAATATGATTCGATAGATAATGCTTCCACATCTGCATTCTTTCAAGGGCCACCATTGCGTCTGCAGCAGAATCCCATCATGGAGACGTACCCGTAGAGAATCGCAGCATGATTCCTCCCATGAAAAGATGGAGGTGCAGAGAGCGGTATCACTGAGGCACTTACCCTCTGGTAATCTAAGATAGCTAATGAAATGGAAAACGACCAGTCATTTCATAGTCAAATCATCTACTTTCATGGGCCAATTTAGATGAATTACCAGAGGGTATACTTATATTATACTTATCATTAATTATCATTAATTATCATTAATTATCATTAATTATCATCATTATCGGCAGCAGGAAGTAATATAACCAACGCAGTACCGCTACCGCAAGACGCTCTTGATCGAAACTCGGCTCCCAACAGGATGTTCCCAAGTAATCAAGGCGAAAAGTGGATCCGGCAATACTCAACATGGCCACGTACAACAATGAAACACAGCAATTTAATCATTGGTTGCCTCACTTGGATTCCATTGGAACAGACAAGAAATAAATGGAAATACCATGAAATACCGACCTCAAACTTCAAAGCAGGATCGTCAAAAACTGGCCTTAAGTTCACCTCCACGGGTTTAACATGGTTTAACCCTGCCTGCAGCAGTCCACGAATCAAATGGAATTCCACAGGGATTGGCTGATCACCAGGAGTCAGGCCTTGCGATCAGTCCGCAGATGTGGTCAGTGCTCAATGAATCAAACGATAAAAAAGAAATGACCTGCTCACTACCAACAAGGCCAACAAGTATCATCTGAGGTGTTCGAGGTCATTTTGGGATGATTTTTCCAATCCTAACCATAGATTCCTATAGATCCTTGATGACCCAACTCCCAGGCCTACCATCTGAGCGCCATGGGTGTACATGTAGACCTCGAAACGCAGTAGAAGTAGGTAATCAAGACCCGGTGCCAGCATCTTGGGTGATGCATTCACACTCTTTTTTGATATTTTTTGGATCTTATTCAGCATCATTCCGCATGAAAGCTCATTTCATTGGACTGGTTTAAGGGAAAATCTACAGGAAACCATGGTTTTTTACCATCAAATATATTCCTCTAAATTTTCCCATCATCCAATTCTATGATCATTCGATTCAGCACACACACTTGGGGTATCTCGCAGTTTTGGACCCCAGAATATCCCATCCCTTCTTCGGATCCGAAACATCGGGCGCCAGGTTCCCCGGGCATTCGCCGGTGTCACCACCCAGGTCAGCGCGAACAGCCCCAGCGCCGACAGGGCTGGGATCTGGCGTAGCAACCTGGGGACCTCCATCTGCAGTGCGCCTGACTCGATCTGCAGATCAAGCGCTTTAACCGGTTTACACCATTAAAATTGGGATATAATTGGGATGTAACTGGGATATTGTGGGAATTTGATGTTTATTTTGTAAAATCAGTATACCATGTGTGGGAAAATGGATGAAAATGGAGTCCAAGCCCGCAAAATCACCATGTTCTATGAGGAGAAGAATGATTAGCCGCCCATGGATGGAACGGAGTACCCAATTCTCAGACACGCCCATGACATATAACTGGATTAGAACATTGTCATTATCAACTAAGCAGCTGAGATGCACATCTAAGATCGTCCAAGTATCCTACTACTGGATACATACTACCAAAAACTAATCCATCGAATCATATCCATCCACAGATCACAGATCATATCAAATACCATCCATCTTGGAACCAAAAATGATCAAAGGGCGATCGGATCAGCAAAATTTTCCCGAACATGGATCCAGACCAACCAACCTTTTTGTTGGCACAAGCAAAAACAAGTCCAAACAACAAGTCCGAACACCCCACGATGGAGATCATTTTAAAGACGGAACATGCAACTGATTAGCTATAAAATTCTATATATTTCATACTATAATCATCTATAATCCACATGAATCCACTATGTATATCAATATTTAAACGATATAAACGATTCGTGTGGTTCTACCGTTGATTGGGTGAAGATTCTCTAGCTTCAGACCCACTGGGCTTTCACCTGCGAGGCCCAGGAGCAATGCACCCACAAAGAGACCTGTGCCTGGCTTGGTGACCCGAGATCACGAGTTTATCACCAAAACTCACACTTCGCTATTGAACATGGCCATAGAAATAGATATTTACAGTGAGTTTTCCCAGCTATAGAATGGTGATTTTCATTGATTTTACCCGGGCTATTGAAAATGGCCCAGTCGAAATAGTGAGTTTTCCCAGCTATAGAATGGTGGATCTTTCCATCGATTTTTGTTCACGTTTACCAGAGGGTTACCCTCTGGTAAACTAACATAGCTATGGAAAATCACCATTTTTCATGGGAAAATCCACTATAAATGGCCATTTTCCATAGTTTTTTGTTAACGTTTACCAGAGGGTTATCACAGCACCAGTGCATGGCCAAACTTGGGGTCCCCCATCCCAAAGTGGGTCCCGATTTTTTGGAACTTCACCTCCAGCAATCTCCGCCACGCCAGTCCATGCCACATGGAAGGACGCCTGGATGATCGTCACGGTTGGTTCCCAACATCGACTGCAAAATGAGGAAAAAAACATGGAATTTTGATGAAACCTGGAATATCTGGAATATCCTAGAAATCATTTGACTTCATCTGTCCAAGAGATTTTCGATTTTGTAACGTGTCACCCCCTGGTCCCTTTAATCCAGGCAGAGGGAATACAAGGACTGGGGTTCTTCAATTACACGGTTTGAAGAATTCGGGGGCCCCAAAATATGAATGAGCACTAACAGTCACTAACCACTTGCCATGCATTCTAGCTTTGAGCTCCAAAAGTATTTTGGCGGCTTCATCCTTGGAAACTTGGCCCTTCCTTACCAACCCACCCGGCACTAGGTTCACTGTGTCCCAGTCACAGACCCTGGGAGATACCAAAATCCCCAGGTGCCCTCGGGCGGATAGATGGACTCAAAAGCTTCAGCTGCGGTGAAGTGGGCCACTCCAGCAGCTATGTAGAAAGCGCCCAGGATGGGCCAGGTCTTTTGCCAGTTCTTAAACCTGGAAATGGCAGTTGAGCCACGTTGAGCCACAAAAACTATAAATCATATCTCGGTCAACTGAGATCATCATCTCCCTAAGGGAAAATACAATATGAAACCACCTTGCGGTCCCCAAGAGCCCAAGTGGCCAATGCTGAGGTTGGAGGACTTGTGGTATCACTTGGGGTCCTCAACTTCCAGCTAGTTTTACGGTTGCTGCAGGATTTGTTCCACCTACCCACAGGAGCCATCATCCACCCCCATCATCAATCATGAAAATCCCTTCAACTTTCCAATTGTTTCGTCAGAAACCACTGAGACTTCGTCGAAAAGCTTCCCTCTTAGACTTTTTCGGAAGCGGTGGTAGGTTACAGTTACCCTCTAGTAAACTAACATATAGCTATGGAAAATCACCATTTATTTCGTGAGTTTTCCCATGAAACATGGTGGATCTTTCCACAGTTTTTTGTTAACGTTTACCAGGCCGGGTACCAGTTACCACTCCCCACCCACCACCTCCCCACCATCCCCACCATCCCCGAAACAAGGCACCATCCCTCCGGCAGCAGCTGCTGAAGAAATTGGAAGATGGGTCCCACCAGCAGCAAGGTGCCGGCGGCCAGAAACACGAAGAGCCCAAGCACCACCGCGGCCTGTTGGGACTCCTGCAACGGTGGGGTGCTCAAAAACCACTGGCCATCTGGGTATGACTCACATAGCCATGGAAAATCACCATTTTATAGCTAGGTAAACGGTAAACCATCTATTTCATTCTATTTCTATGTGCCATCTATACCATGGCTATGTTAAATAGCCAGATGGTAAACATGGATCACTGATCTCTGGCAATTCTCGAAATCACTGGTGAAGAAAAACCGGAAAAAAAATTAAAACCAGGAAGTGACAAATGTGCCCCCAACACTAGGTCAAACCAGAATCACACACATCAAACCATGGCTTCATGAACCCGTTTCAGCGGAGACTTCAAATGACAGAGACCTGGAGGTGACCCGATTTTGAATCTCCAGGCGAAGAGCTACATCCATCAAACCATCAACCAAACAATCGATGTAGGTCCCTCCAAACATCAATCCTCCGCCCAAACTGGGGTGAAATCCCAGATGTTCCCCTGATTTTCTGCTTCCAGTGGCTCATCAGATGGGTCAAGACCGAAAATATCTTTTTGGAAGGATGAACATCTATAAGTTCCCAGAAAAAAATCAGCTGTGAAAAGCCACAAGATTCCCAGTTTTCTTTTTTTTGCTCATGGCCATTTAATTTTGCACCCAGCCACTGGTAAGGTATTGATCCCACTGGGTGCCGGTGGCATTTCAGCCAGTGCCGCTGGCACGCCGCCACAGGCCGCCAGCGCTGCGCCGGCTGTGCTCGCGGCACAGGCGCCGGGGGAGGGCTTGGCCTGCCATGGGAAACTTATAAAAGTGGCAGAAGATCCCATTTTTGCTTGGTAAATCTCCTACAAATCAGGGATTTGCTAAAAATAAGCATTGCTTCAAGCAAAGCAGGTCTCAGCTTTATGAGAAGATGAAAAAAGTGGCTCGAAAAACATTCCGTGCAAAAGCATTGTTGAAACAAACAATTAAAAACAATCATATAATCTGACGCTGTTGGTCAGCTACAATGTGACCAGCACATCCCCCTACCAGTACCCTATAGTACCTTTGCCCCAACCACATCGCTCTGTTTCAGATAATCTCATGTAATTAATTACTTGATGTTACTTGTGGTTTTCGAACCTTCTGATTCAAAACATTTATGTAACTACGTGAAGATGTTCAAATCTTAGGCAACACACCCGAACCCTCCGCAGTCCTGCGGTGGCACGAAGCTTTCTCCACCGCACGCCAGCAGCGCCACCAACAGCAGCGGCACCATGGCTCGGAAGCCACGCTTCGCGCCGCGCTTCATGGCACGAAGGGCCATGATGGTCACCAAGCGTCAGTGGTTCGTGATGGTGATTCCAAAAAAAATGCTCATTCTATGGGGATAATATGTGATCATTTGGGAATTGGGCTTTAAAACGGGTGAAAAGGATATGAGTATACATTAGGGGCCATCATCCAAACATATTTCAAGTAGGAGAACTCTGTGGACAATCACGAAGATTTGACACCACCAGAGCAATGATTCATGGCTGGAAAAGCTCAGCTAGGTAATATAGTAACACTGGCATCACGGTCCTATGAGATCATATATCATCAATATTTATCATGCCCAGTTGACATGATGGCTTAATGTTTATGACATTCTGTGACTATGCCACTATGCTAGATGGTTTTACATATTTTTCTCGTAGACCATGTTCGGTTGCCCAATTTATTCTGTCAGTCTCGGGCTGAATGTGCCTTTCCAATGCCTTTCTAGTCCAAGCTGCGGTTGTGCAGTGCCATGACACAGCCAATTCAAATTTATCGAAACAACTACAGCCAGCTGCATCTCTTTAATTCTTGAACTGCGCTGAAGATGTATAGTCTACAGCTGCTACATGCTGCTACTAGCTTTCTGGCGTGAGGCTGTCTTTCCATCTGCTTATTGATCTAATCTGCTACCCATTTTTTCTGTGTTCATCAGCCTGTGGACATTATCCGATCCTGGGGTTTTGCAAAACATGAAATTTACACGAACAAGCCATGTGCTTTCTGTTTCTTTGGATATTTCACGAACCAACCGCAATATCATTGGGTATGTTCACAAAATGGGGGTCTACCCGTCTACCCGAAAAAATTGCCATCCTCATAGGAATTCATTGAATCCATGATGATCATGGGCTTTCTGGGCACTCAAAACCCAGCAGCCATCAGCACTGGGCCCCTGACGTTGTCAGCGCCGCGGAACCGCCCAGCAGCACCTTAGGCTTCACCGGCCTCGGTTTGAAAGTCGCGTCCGACCCACCGATCATGGCAAGGAAAGATAGGGATTCTTCGTTGCATATCATCATCAAGCAACAATTATATAATACATATAATATACATGAGTGGATTCCAACATAAAAAGATTTTCCATGGGATAAACTCCACATGAATGTAGGATGTTCCATGGGTTTTTTCAATTTATTGATGATGATGATGATGATGATATATAATCATGAGATAATGATAATCCCCAATTCCCAATATCAAAATAGTTGGATAGAATCCCATAATGATGATAATCCCCTCTATATAGGCAACAGAGCTTGTCTTGCAGCCACTGCTTTACCATCAAAAATCACACATTCTGAGGTACCCGGACCCGGAGGCCCGCATTGCCTTCCAGGCAAATGACACTCATTTCAACAACACCAAACAATGGCTATGGCGGCTATGGAATGCTGATGGAGGTAAACTTTTTCGCAAACTTCTGGACCCCAAAAAGGCCAGAACATGCAGCTTACTTTCTATGCCAAGACGCTGTTTTCCACATGATGCACAGATTGGCTGCTGATTTGGGCATTGATCATAAACTTTTCTGGGCGCCTTCCAACTTACAACTTGTCTCATACCAGTAGCCCGAGTACACTACACACTGAGAGACAGGAAAATACCAAAAAACACACCAATTCGCCCGAAAGTCCTAGACTTGACTTCAGCAAAAATCCGACAAGACCTGATTGGTATCTCTGACAGTTCCAATCTACGGTTGGGCGAGCCTGCGGACTATTTATCCTCGACATGAAATTGACTCATCATTTCATTGTCACTCACTCAACCATTTGCAATGAACCCCCCCAAAAAAAACAGCGCGCTATTTGCCCTCAAATTTGAACCCCCATTGCCCTGTCAGAACAGCATCAGTGTGTTGTCTAACGACTCATACGACTCCACCGGGGGCATCCAACCGGTCCATGAGTTGTCTTTTTTTCTCCACTGGTGGCTCAGCGTTTCATCTCTTCCAACCATTTCGGTCCATCTTCTGGCATCTCCACTTTACCTCAGAATCTCTGAATCAAATCATTGGGAAAGATCCAAAATGACCCAGAAACGAAGGGGAAACTGGCCAGGATGACGGAGAAGCCATGCACCTCATGGGGACATACCTTGAAGCCACTTGGGATGGTCGCTAAATGGCCTCTGAGCTATAAAAATGCGAAGAACACTCTCTCCAGCTCGACAAAGAGAAGCGCATATTCTTCAAGACCCACAAGAAAAACAGAGTCCAAATTGATTTTGGATGATTTTGGCTTACTCCTGGTGAACCAGTATCAAGTACGCGACATTGAGCAACTCTAAGCAATGTTTACCAATTTTCCAAGATGCACTTGATGTAGAGATCACCCTTCTCCGTGGGATCTTTGTGTGGCATCCCTTCTTTCGAGATCTTCATCACCGCGAAGGGCTTGGTGACGCCCTTGTGGCCAAAGTAGATGGTACGACCATCCAAGTGTTGCAGTGTTCCTTGGACATCGCGACGGGGCGATAGGCCAAATGGAGCTATAAAATTAACCATGGGATATATAATTAATTAGTGGGATCTAATGAATAATATATAATAACCGTATATCCAATATCATTTGGGTGTATCTGAGAATTGGTTCATTAATGGGAAAAGGATGATGGCCATGGGTGGCCTATGACAAACCCAGAACCCGGTTTTCAGTTCAGTCCATCCCATACATTGATCTCCACCAGCTACAGATGAGCATTGACCCATGCCCCAAAATCCAAGGAACCCCCATGAAATTTCCCAACTTCCCAAGTTTGATTGTCAAACCCACCGTTTTTGTCAATGTTTCATGGTGCCTTTTTTTTTTGTCCTGCCTAGCAAGAATATGAGTTTTGCATGGTAAACTCACCATTCTTTTCAGGTTAAGTCCTAATTTCTCCAAGTGAAATTCCCAATTCCTTCATGGCGAAATCCGCATTTGTCCAGCATTTTTCCACAGAAATCCGTACCAAAAAGTTTGAGCTCCCAAGGATCTCTCGAAGCCTAACAGCGCTTCGCGCAACGTGATGGTCACCTCGGTGTGCAAATCCACACCGGCGCGGCGGAAGGCAACGTGTTTGGTTTCCACCAGCTTCACGATGACGTCACCTGCTGGGCAGATCGTGTTTTTTTTCACCACAAATGGGACATGTATGGGACATTGATGGGACATTTATAGGACATTTAAAAATCATTTATGGGACATGAAATGATATACTTATATAATCTTATATGCAGAAATTGCCTATTCTCATCTAAACTCAAAGCCATGAATTTCACTAGGAATTGGCAGTATAAACCATGCCCAATTGCAGATTTATGGCATTTTATGGCACTGGGTTTCCCACACGAACATCAATATGGCCTTAGATGCGCCTTGCACAAAAAACAAACGTTTTTAGCTGGGTATGAAAAAACATATTGCTCCAGTGACGGCAAAAATGCAACAAAAAGTATTTTTTGCTGGCCAGGCTCAGTCACCAATGCCAATTTGGGATCATCCCAACAGTTTACCATGGAATACCATGGATCAGCTCAAGAGATTTGAACACATCTTCCACAACTCCTATCAACTCTACTCAACAAGATATCATGAAATATCATGACATATGACCCATATAGAATCATATAGATACTGTATGTCTTTCACCTCATTCAAAAAATCCATACCACAGCATACTTCACAACATCCCCCAGCGCACCGCGCACCTGGCACCTTTTTGGGTGTCAGAAGTCCTCCCCGGTGCTGAAAGATCAACGTGTCCCCATTGGAGCTGCCCCGTTCCACCATCAGCGTCACTGGGTGCTGCTCGGTGCGGCACTTCTCCTTGGAAGGCACCTGCACCTGCGGGGATGGCGCCGGAGATGGCGCGGCTAGACAGGCCCTGGATCCCTGGGTGACCCTTGAACCATTGAAGTTGAGTAGAACAAGTATTCCAATCGGGACATGATGGTCATATTCTATTAGTATCCCATTGTACATCCCTATCCCTACCATTATACTTATTATGGATTGTCTAACCCCAGAAATGATATGCAAAATCAGGACATTTCAGCCAAAAACCTTCCAACCAATCGGCGACCTGCTGCTGCATGATCATGTTGCCCATTCTCACTTTGCGATACTCCAACCTTGGGGTTTGAGCTGTGGTTTGTTTCATTTGCATAGCCAATCTTGGATACAGCAGCTGCCAAGACAATTGTTTTCGGTTGTTTTTTATATGTATCTGTATGTATGGCACAAAAGTAAAAGTATAAAAACTACCCAAGGTTTCCCCAGTTTATGCCTCTCTGTCTGACCAAGTTGTATCCGCATGAACTATACAGTACAAGGATGAGGGCATCTTTCCTGCTATATTGGAATGCAACACGTACGAACATGACATCAAGTTACAACATACTGAAACATCAACATCAGCAATAGTTATTCAATAGTGAAAAACCAAGACACCACAAGTAAATCCCAGGTGGTACAAAGGCCAGGGCTTGAATTAGTGGGTATGCTGATGTTCAAAACTATTAATAAAAATCCATAAATAGTGTGTTCTTAACCTTAATTAAACAGAATGCGATCAACTTGACGTTTCTCTGATGTTAAAGTCCCTTTTGCTGTTTGTTTCATACTGCTTTATCCCCTCTGGTAAACTAATAGTTTGCTATGGAATTCATTACCATATCAAAAAGGTAAATCAACGAACTAAATGGGCCATGGCTTCAACAGCAACCTGTGACCAGCGTGTACATCTTCCCCATCTACCGGCAGCCTTCCCCCCAAACCAACCCACGTGGTGTCCACCGGACACGTCCACGCCACTCGTCCGCGCAGCGCGTGTTGCATCGGCGACAGCGCTCCGTTTGCCGCTCGCGGCAGCCGCGGCAGACCAACACACGAGGGACCGAGACTTGAATCAGTTGACCTGAGCCATGAAAATGACTCATCTATTGTGATTATGATAGAGAAATACAAATTTTGAAATTATAGTGACATAGTTATTATGATATATAATGATATCATCATATTATAATCATCCTATCATATAATCATCTTGAAGCTCTTGACTCTTATTGGCAATTATGGATACATAATAGCTATTATTGTGATTATTATGTTATTGCCGACAGTATTCTGTATGTTATTAGTGTTATGATTATTATTGTGTTTGCTTTCTTGGTATGTTATCAATAAGATAAATAGTGATACTGATAATGAGAAAAAAAAGGGAGGGGACTGTTGTGGCCGCCTCTTTTTTAACTATTGTTGTCAAGTTTTTAATTAACCATGAACTATTTCACTGGGAAACCTACACAAAAAAGTCATGAATAACTCTTGAACCATTGTTTAGCCAAATGTCTTGCAATTTTATTTGGTAAGTTCCAGGCAGTCTTGACAAATGTCATGGGACACATATGAAATTATTTCGTGAGAAACATTATTTGCAGCCTTTACCAAGTTTTGAAAAGGATCTGAAACTTTAGCAGCAATGGCCCTCAGGTTCATTTCATCAAAGTATCTTTGGTTCAGTTAGTGGTCTGCCTAAAAGGTCTTGCATGTGTATATATACTTTTTCTTTCTAAGTTGTCATCCTTGAAAATCACAAATTTTCTTGCAGCAGCAGTTCAAAATCTCAAGCTTTCAGCTTTCCAGGCATGTCAAAATCATTCAAAATCTGTAGATTTTTGGTATGCAGTTTATATGCAGTTTATATGTAGTTTATATGCAGTTTATATGCAGTTTTCAAAACTGCATATAAACTACATGTAGTTTGGTCAAAACTGCATATAAACTACATGTAGTTTTGAAACTGCATATAAACTGCATATAAACTGCATATAAACTTCATATAAAATTTATATGAAAATTCAAGGGCTGACATGTGGTTTTTAAGGATTTTGATTATACATTTGGACTTGATTCCACTGATTCCCAAACCTTTGGACACCAATATGGACATATAAAATTCATAGTGTGATGCAATCAAAACTGGCAATGCCAGCAACTTGTTTCCTTTCCCAAAACTTTGAAACAATTGCAAGTGCAAAGGCCCAGTGCACTTGTTTACAAAAATGATTTGAAGAATCATAAAAGGTTATTTCTGTTCACAAGTAAGTAAGCATCTCTAAAGATCCAAGATCATCATATGTAAATCTCAAGTAAAGAGGTTTCAAGGAACCATAAAAGATTCTTTTGGCTCACAAGGAAACATCTGTACAGGCCCAGGATCATCCCCTACACATGTAAATCTCAAGTAAAGATGCTCTAATATACCACAAAAATCCAAGAACATCACATGTAAATCTCAAGTAAGGATGTTTTAGGCAGGACAATACAAGTTTCTGTTTGTGTTCACAAGTAAACATCTGTACAGGTCCAAGAACATCACATGTAAATCTCAAGTCAAGAGGTTTTAAACAAAACAATAAACTTCTTTGTATTCACAAGTAAGCATTTGTACAGATCCAAGAGCATCACATGTAAATCTCAAGTAAGAATCTTTGGAGGAAACTGTCAGTGAACATATAGAGATTGAAGTGCTAGCTACTATTGGAAAAATGTATATGGAAAATCCAAAACTGTTTCAAGTATCCCCAGGTTTTTGCCTGCAACAAAGAAGCATGTTTCAAATGTTATGGATGCTTGGTCCCAAAATGGTAAAAAGACAATGATATGATCTTTACATGAACCTGCGCCTGGCATAAAGTACTCAGGCTTTGTTTGGAGGGTCACTTGATGGATCCTTAATTGAAGAAACTTCTATGTGCCAATCTTTACTTGTGGATTCAAACAATATGGTATATATTTGATGGATCCTTACTTGAGGAAACTTCCATGTGCTAATGCTTACTTGTGGATTCAAACGACATGGCCTATATTTGATGGATGAGCAGGGAATATAGAAAATTAGCTAACCACATGTTGGAAATTAGTAGTTAAATAGATCTGATGATCTTAGATTAACTTGCTTCAGTAGTCCAGACACAGAGAGAGCGGCGCTAAAAGCCAATAAAGGCAGATGACCAGAGAATATAGAAAATTAGCCAACCACATGCCATAGCTTCAGGAGTCCAGACACAGAGAGAGCGACGCTAAAAGCCAATAAAGGCAGATGACTAGGGAATATAGAAAATTAGCCAACCATATGTTAGAAAGTAGTAGTTAAATAGATCTGATGATCTTAGATTAACTTGCTTCAGGAGTCCAGACACAGAGAGAGCGGCGCTAAAAGCCAATAAAGGCAGATGACCAGAGAATATAGAAAATTAGCCAACCACATGTTAGTACTTAAATGTTAAATAGATCTGATGATCGTAGATTAGCTTGGATTAATCTGGATTAATCTGGATTAATCTGGGACCAAAAAAACCAAAAAAAACAAAAAAAACAAAAAAAACAATGTTTTGGAGACTAGTCTAAAGATAGCCCTGATCCAAGTAGTCCTGAAAACATTGTTTTTTTTGTTTTTTTTGTTTTTTTTTGTTTTTTTGTTTTTTTTGGTTTTTTTGGTCCCAGATTAATCCAGATTAATCCTTGGGGCTTGAACAGATATCAACACACAAGTTATCGGAAGGGAATGTTGTGACACCCAAATCTCACAAGAACACAAGTTATCGGAAGGGAATGTTGTGACACCCAAATCTCACAAGAAGTATTCTTTATACATATTAAGTGTGAGATTTGGGCGGCCACAACAGTCCTTTCTGAAAAAAAAACATGCTGTATCTATTCTTGGCATTACGTGTTAATATTGTTGTGATTATTTACCCGATAATGATGACAACGATCATAAGCACTTTGCCAGTTATCATCCATAATCATCCATAGTTATTCCTGTAAACAAGAGCTATATTATGCTGTAATTCTCCCAAAAATAGGTATATATCCCAACAACAGCGACAGCGACAGCAACAATAGCAACAACAACAACTCCTACTACTACTACTACGACTACGACTACTACTACTACTACTACGACTACGACTACGACTACGACTACTACTACTACTACTACTACTACTTCTACTTCTACTTCTACTTCTACTTCTTACTACTACTACTACAACTACAAAAAAGAAACGAAAAGACACATATATATGGCCAACACATGCCCGCATATTATATTGGGGATCAACCCATTGCTAAACAATATATCAGACATGTAGCACGGTGATCAATGGGCCATGGGTACAAACTATCCCCAATGAACCAAATATGTAGGTAGTATAACACAGTGACTCTAACCTATCAACTAGAGATAACTAGAGTATATTTCGAATGGTTCACCTGAATATTGAGCTGGAAAAAGACCCAATGAAGCAAATGTGGTTAACCGTTTCGATCGAACCAACATGGATATATATACATATATATCTACACAATATTGTATGAGCCACCAAAATGTTCAAAAAGGGGTTTTTACAATAGATGCCAACTAGGGGGGCATCAGGGGGAATATTGACAAAACTGAGGATGCAACGCACAAATTTTCGGAAGGTTGGCAATATTTAATGACTTGTCAGGCACTATACAGATGATTTTCGGCAAGATGTGATGGCAATAAAATGGATTTATCTGAAAATAGGGGACCCAAAAATCTAATGCTTTATCATCAGTTTTCCCTATAAAACTTGTTCTTCAATGTTCTTCATGGCTATGCGGATCTTCGCCATTTTCAGACATCCTTTTATGGGGAAATTCATGAAATTGTCAACCTGCTGGGATTGTCGGACAATGCCTCGCAGCCCAAGAGGCCATTGTACATATGCTCCAGCGTGACTTTGACTTCGGTGGTGCTTGATTGCCCCTTTTCAGCTTTGTTGCTCAGAAACTCATAAAGCAGCCTCAGCGCAGCGTTAGCTGCCCCTGGAACATGAAGGGATAAACATGGATAAACATGGATAAACACAATGTCTGGCAGTTGCCTGATGACTAGCCTGAATGAGATTCACTTTGATCACTTCGAATGCCAACTGTGAAATCGGTTCACCACTTGCCCTGCGATGGATCTGCTCCTTCGGCGTTGAACATATTGCCCCTACATCCCCTGAGGATCAATCCACACGGTTCCACACGGTTCCAGTACGTTGATTGTGGAACTGTCCATGCTTAAATCTGAATATGCATGGATCCATATGGAATCATATGGATACATATCAAAAATTATCAAAACATTGTCTACATACAATGAAAATACGACGTGACCGTATACATACTCCCAGCTACCCGATGGATCCCGATGGGACCTCGTTGGTCCGCATACCTTGGCCGCCAAGCAGCTGCAAGCCCGCTGAGTCATAGATGGCACGTTGACCTTCATCACCCAGGATCTCATAGGCTTCCCGGATCTGGGAAAATCTCGCAGTGAGAACAGGATCATTCCTGGTCTTATCCTCGGCTGGGCATTGCTGGAAGACCTGACCCAAAAAAAACATCAGACTTTAGACACTTGACAACTTTGTGGTCTGTGAGATCTTTTCTGAAGTTTCTTGCTTTAGCTGGGACACAGCTTTTGATTCTCATCATTCTCGTGGAGTTTTTGGTTCTTAACAACCCCAAAGTTGGATCAAGTTGGAATCTGCTACCCACCGCTGAAGCTAAGTAACTGGGTGGTGGACCAACGACAGCTTGCGGAAAGCTTGCCTAAGGCAGTGGCGAGCTTGAGAACTTGCCTCGAAAGTGGATGGCTTAATTGATGTGCCATCTGGTAAATGAACCGTTTGCTATGGAAAATCACCATGTTAAATCAACTATAAATTGGACATGTCCAATAGCTACGTTAAATTACCAAAGGGTGGCTTAATCATGAAATTGATCAGAAATTGTGGGGAAAAAAACACAACGTTTCGAGCCATAGCCACACAATTGCTGGCCTTTCTCTTTATTGCAAACTGTTTCAAGTTGTGGAAACTTCAGGAGCAGTTTCCTACGGAGTTTGTTGAACCTGAGGGAACTACAGAGCGACCATTGTGCTAACTGAGAGAGCCAAAACCATCCAAAACCAATCAAAAGATGTCGAGTCGTAACTAAATCTACATGTATAACATCAAAATAGAGGTATTATCAATATACCTATGCATATGCAGTCATCCGCACATACATGCACATCATCACGGGTTGGTTGAAGGGAAGGAACATTTCCAGGAAACCATGGTTTTTAATATGTTTTCACCATGACACAATAATTGTATAATACTAAAGCATACAACATATATCAAAATATATGGGAGTCCTCCAAAACTCCTTTCAACCAGTGGGACATCCACGCTTTTGTTTGGTCGCCGAGGGGCTTGATCTCTTTGTCACTGGCACTGCTATCCACGCCCAGCTCTTCATAGAGAGATGCTTCACCTGACACGCAGATCTCACAGAGATGGGGGGATACCTTGCAGTAAATTAGCATGGATACCCTCTGGTAATCCACCATAGCTATGGAAAATAGATGGAAATGGTCTACCTGTTTTGATGATTTACTATGATTTACTTATGAAAGATGGTGATTTTCACAGCAAACTACCAGATTACCAGATGGCAAACCATGGAAAAGCCACGAATTGTCGATCGTTTTCCAGGGAAAATTGATGGCTGATGGATGGTGATGGTAGATCGTCCGGAGGAACCCAAGTTGATCCATCCAGATTGGAGCAATATTGGCAATAGTAAACAGAATTGATGGGTAGAAAACCCTCTTGAAACCTCTTGGAACCAAATGAAGGGGCTGGTTTTTTTTGGCCAACAACCTCAACCCACCCTTCCCCAATTTAATGGGCATCAACAGCCTTTGTTTGCCTGAAACGTCTCAGACTCATGTGCAAAAATGAAGCTTCGAATTGCCTTGAAATGTATGTGAACCAATTATATACTTCGCTTCTTCTGTCTCGAAACTAGACACTTGATCAGGGTAGGTGGTAGTGGGCCATGTTTGGCCAACTTCGGTGAGCCGGCTCACTTACACCTGATGCTTGGCCACAAAACAATGCTGAAAGGAGAAACACATATGTTTCAACCACCATGCAGCCAATCCCAGCCCTCCTCCAGCAGCCCAAAGTAGCTAAAGCTCTAGGATTCCTTCACCCCACATGACCCATGAGATTTTGTTGGAAACATGTTGAAACACTATCCCAAAAATTGACTCCAGCGGCCCAGGTCCGGTCCCGACCTGCACACTCGTCCAAACGGGTGAAGGGTTCGGCCCATTCTCCATGCGCACAGCCGGGCTTTCGGATGATCCGACCCCCACCGCATTCGCAGTAGCCACTACTTCTGGGATCGATCAATGCCCTGCATGTCTGGTCCTGCACCATGGATGGCAGCGGTTGATGATCGACAGTGGCAACATCCCAGAATCTCTGGAAATCATATATTGTACGGCTGAAGTTATTCAGGTGGGGTCTTGAGCCAGCAGATCTATATGGCAAGTTGCTGGGGATCCTTTTTGAACAGCTGGATCTAGCAGTCCAAGGATTGGATGCCGGCCTGTCCTTGTTCGGCTCGCGTGTGCCATCCGCGCTGCAGCCCCCGGTTTGACGCCAACTGATGCAGCGATAGCGCACTGCTTGCCTCAGCTCGCCATTTTGAGGTCCCAGATTGACTCTGCAGGGTGGTTAACCTGGTATAACCTGGTTGACCTGGTGGAAGTTCCCAATTGCAACATGCCAAACCAGCTGTCAATGCCTCGTGGGCCCCTGTCAACCTTCACCAGACACATGTTTAGCACGGCTGAACTTTAGATGATTTTAGATGTTCTATTCAACATTCAGCTACATTTTGTATCTTTGGGTATGGTCTTCCCCAAAACCAAGGTTTAGCCAGTTGGTGTGGGCCAAGAATGGTCAAGATTGGGTGATCCAAAATGTCTATATCCCCCATCAGACATGATTTCGAGGCTGATTTTCCGCAACCCTCTGGTAAGCTAACAGTTTGCCATGGAAATTCACCAGTTTAATGGGTAAATCATCGCACTAAATGGGCCATAGCCATCCATAGCCTCCATAGAACACCCAAAAAAGATAGGCGTTGTTTTGTCTTCACTATCTTTAGAATCGCAGTTGACTAAACTCTTTCTTTTCGGAGGTTGCTTCTATAACAATCACTGCAATGGGGCCCCAACACATCCTTCATGTTCTTCACCATGCGGCAAACACTCCGTGGAGCATCGAAAGGGTCGATGATCGCAGCTCACTGCGCGAGCCTGGAAATCTAAGGGTTCACCTTCAAATGGCTGGATTTCTGCTTCCTCCAAAGAATTCGGTATTTCATAGGTAGCTTGATCCATGATCCATCCCCAAATAGGGATTTCATTCATATGATGCTTGGCAAATCGTGGTGTTCCCTGGCGGATTGAATCTGGAAGAATCTCAAAATGGGTCCCAAAAAGGACATGGTTCAAAGTAGGCAAAAAACTATGGGCTCCAAGGTCCAAAAGGTCCAAAAGGTCGAGAGGCTCAAAGAATGGTGGACCCTGGAGAGCCCCTGTCCGAATGCAACTTAGACCATGAACTGGCTTATGTTGGACTGCCCTGCCCAGATGTATATATCGGATTATATCATATCGGTACATTCCCACCATCATCCCGCAAAAAGTTCTGTATCTGGTGACATCACAGCTTTGTCGTTTTAATCTTTGTTTCGCTTCCGCCACATATGTCAGTGATTAGTTATTGCACCATCCTTTGGCAAGCCATTGCCATGTTCCAAACATTGCAGGTTTTTATCTCCCAAATATCTCCACCATTCAACATTCTTGGCCGTGTACAAATAAGAGAAAACACTTAAACCATACCAAGGCTGTCCCCATGCCATGGCTCGTGATGCCACTGAGGTGCTTTCACCCTCTCAGAGGAGGAACTTGAAGCACACTGACCTCAGTCCCAAAGTTTTGGGATACTTTTCTTCCAGTTTTGTCTCGGTTTTGGATGGATTTCTGTTGGGTGAAACCCAGCATCTCCGGCACGCACGGTCAACACTGCTTCAGAGTGGACCATAACGCTTGGAACAAAATGGTCCCTTGATCTTCCAAAACTATCAATGCAGCCATTCTTTGATTGAAGTCCTCTGAATCAGTTACGTTCTTTGCAGGGAATGTGATTGCAGCATATTCATTTGATATGGCATTAACTTGCAAGGCACCGTCAGTTGAATATGGTATGATCAGATGATTCAGCTGGTTCGAGGCATTAAGGTCTGTCATCTAAAAAGTTGTTGTTTTTTTTTGAAACGAAAGGGAAAGTCTCTCTCCCTGTCAGCCTCGACCCAAATACCTTTTCCAGTTCTAATAAAGGGGTTAGTTGTAGGAAATGATTAAAACGATCACAACCAGTGAGGAGCGTGGTTCTGAAAGCTATGTGGAAGGTCATAGGTTATGTGCGCATATTTAATACCCAATCAGTGAGGAGGATAAAGAGATCCGGTTGTGTGTTGCGCAGTTGGAACTCCATTGTGTAGTGTCATCCATTGTGTAGTGGTGTTCGCCTTCGGCTGAGGGGAGCGGGTTTGGGGTATTGTCCAGTGATATTTCGCCAGAGAGCCCTGCTTCTCGCTGCTTCCCGCACTGGTCGATAGATGCGCGCATTAGCCCGCCAATCTGTGACTGTAGGGCCATGGGTAGAATATACTTCTGTAGCTGTTGGAGGGGAAAAGAAAGGATGAGACAGGTCAGTGAGGGCTGGGGCGGTTTGTTGTTGTACAATTTGCATGCGTCTATAAGCTTCTGTCAGCACTAGTTCGGCCCAGTGGGGGCGGGGTCTGCCCTGCCGAAGATTTTCTCCCCGGAGAAAACGATATGCGTGTGAAGGCATGAAGGAAACCAAATGTTCCGTGCAGCTTTCATGGCGCAACAAATGACCAAGGAGTTGAAGTCGCCGGGTGGCAGCTAGTTGAGATGGTGTATAGATATTCATTCCATGGGAGTTAGCAAGGGTGTGGAGATGGGTGTTTGAGCACGGGGAGTCAGAAGGTTGCAAAACCCTATGAAAAAATGAAGATCTAATTTTGAAGATCTGCCGTAACACGCGAAAGTGAAGAGCATCCATACGTTGGTGATGCGCAGGGGTGGGAACTACGGATTCAATAGAATAAAGGAGAATACTTTGGACGATGGACTGGTACACTCGAAGGCGAAAAGCCGGTGAGAGGAATGAAGCACTGAAAAAACTTGCTAAGGCCTTCGTGGCAGCATTGGCCTTTCGCAGACGTGACAAGACAAAGTGATCAGGAGAACCATCTGGTGTCAATTGCGCGCCTAGGTATGTTGCCTCTGTAACTTGTTTTAGGGGGTGACCTACGCCTTCCCCACCACAATGTTCACAGGCGCATTTGTTCATCACATTACCCACGCGGGTGTAGATATGCTCGGAGCTGTGTAACGCAAGGTGCTCACATTTTTCCAAGTTAAGTTCCAGACCAAATCGGTATCCGTGACGCTGGACCCCATGGAGAAGGCGATTAGCAAGTTGAGCGGAATTGGTCATTAGCACTATATCATCGGCAAATTGGAGATCCCAAATTGGGGGTTGCATGGGGAAAACACTGGGGATAAGACTAAATCGGGATTCATGCTCGGCCTCCACATATTCAAACATACAGGTGGTGCAAAGAATAAAAAGGTATGGGGATAATGGGCAGCCCTGTCTAAGTCCTGCTTCCTGTTGCCGTGGAGTCGACAATTCCCCCCAGTCCAGTACTTGGAAAGATGGATCCATATACAGAGATTGGATTGCATTGATGAGCGCCTCTGGTACTGAGTGGTATGCTAGAGAATGATAGATGGCTGCGTGGGTCAGGGAATCAAAAGCTTTAGCCCAGTCCAAGAAGACAAAGTGTAGTGGAACCCTTTGACGTTCATGGGCTTGGATTAATTGGCGGATAATGTGGATAGGTTGAGAAGTGGATCTCGACTGTCTGAATCCGTATTGGGTGGGGCGGAGGTAGGGTTCCACATAAGGGTGGAGTCGATCTTTCAATATGGATGCATACACTTTGTACATACACGCAGACAGGGAGATCGGGCGATAGTTAGAAAGCGCGGTGGAAGACTTTAAAAAGTTGGTATTCCCCAAAACTGTCATTTGCCGAGGGAACATGATGATAGATCAAACAAACATAATGTAGTTGAAGGGCACCTCTCAGAAATTCCAACCTCCGCCTCCAGACTACCGGTCCATGTACAGCCAATGGTGCATCAATATTTCTAGCTGCACCCTTAGACTGTCCAACATCATCTACCCTCTGGTGTCATCAAACATGGCCAGCCGGAAAACCTTATATGGGTATGGATCAATACCTATTAATACCATTTTTAGGGTGTTATTCACATCCATAAATCCCAGCTATTTTGATGTGAACTACAGGGGTACTATTGGTTTTGACACACTGCCATATAAATGGAGGTGTTGATGGGAAATTAATTTATAAATGGTGGATTTTCCGGAACAACATGTCTGATTGAGGGTAAATATGGAACCTTCTTTCGATGTCCATTTCAAACCTCCCAAGTTGAGATCCTCTGAGTTTACCACAACACACCGGTTTCTCTGGAAACAGGCTACACTATCTACACTCGACTTTGATGTTTGATCATCATTTTCCAATTACAGTAGCAATAACTTGGGGTAGCCGCCCCATTTTTAAACAATCTCAAGTCATATTGTTGGTTAGTTGTATCCCAATCATATTTTAAAGAAGATTTCCAAGAGACAGGTCTATCCCATGAAATGGTTGGTTTTATCCCCCATGTTGATGGTTAAACCATGTTAGGCATCCATTAAAAATCATTAAAACATCTTAGTTCACCCCTTTCTGAATCTCCCATTCTTAGTTCACCCTATAAGAATTTGCTGGCTGATTCTCCTGCATTTTTCATACGGATCGATGATCGATCATCAATCCCACGATTTTTCACTGGTTGGTGGTTTCAACCCCTCTGAAAAATATTAGCCAGTTGGGATGATTATTCCCAATATATTATGGAAAAATAAAATTCATGTTCCAAACCACCAACCAGATTCTAATCATGGATTATGCCATGTTCCAAACCACCAACCAATCCCACGATTTTTCGCCACATCCAGCAGAGCTGGGCAGGTGACAATAGCCACTGCTTCCAATCCCAATCTCCTCATGGCACTCTTTGTCGCCGCTCTTCTCGCGAGATCCTTTGGGGTCACATCCCACCTATGGCACCGCCAGGGGCGGCAAGGATGAATGAAAGTACATGGATTTCCTAAAAACTGAACATATGAAATTACACCAGTATAGACCCCAAACAGCAGCAACGCATGCTTCCACCAAGGTCATGTGCAATTCAAAATTCATGGAACTGTCTGGCACACTCCTGTCTTCTGTTTTACTCCTTCGTTACTTCAACCGTACAAATACGAGGCAATAAAAGAGACGCCCCGACCCATCCAGGAATCGACACAGAGTGCAGGTCCTGAATTTTCAGACGGGTCCAAAACTGGTACAAGCTGTTTTCTCTTGAGAACAATGGCGCCAGCACAAGCCCATGGAACAGAACCCTTTTTCCTGAGAAAAGAAAGAAGAGAGAAGAAGGGAGACAAGCACCGGAACCCCAGCCGGAACCAAGAGGAACCAGCAAATCATGATGGAACAGAACCCCTTTCCTGAGGAAAGAAAGAAGAGAGAAGAAGGGAGGCAAGCACCGGAAACAAAGAAGAGAGAAGAAGGGGAGACAGGCACCGGAACCAAGAGGAACCAGCAAACCATGATGGAACAGAACCCCTTTCCTGAGGAGAGAAAGAAGAGAGAAGAAGGGAGACAAGCAACGAACCAAAGAAGAGAGAATAAGGGAGACAAGCACCGGAACACCAGCCGGAACCAGGAGGAACCAGCAAATCATGATGGAACAAAACCCCTTTCCTGAGGAAAGAAAGAAGAGAGAAGAAGGGAGACACCAGCAAATCATGATGGAACAGAACCCCTTTCCTGAGGAAAGAATGAAGAGAGAAGAAGGGAGACAAGCACCGGAACCCCAGCCGCAACCAAGAGGAACCAGCAAATCATGATGGAACAGAACCTCTTTCCTGAGGAAAGAAAGAAGAGAGAAGAAGGGAGACAAGCACCGGAACCAAAGAAGAGAGAAGGGAGACAAGCACCGGAACCCCAGCCGGAACCAGGAGGAACCAGCAAATCATGATGGAACAGAACCTCTTTCCTGAGGAAAGAAAGAAGAGAGAAGAAGGGAGACAAGCACCGGAACCAAAGAAGAGAGAAGAAGGGAGACAAGCACCGGAACCCCAGCCGCAACCAGGAGGAACCAGCAAATCATGATGGAACAGAACCCCTTTCCTGAGGAAAGAAAGAAGAGAGAAGAAGGGAACCAGCAAATCATGATGGAACAGAACCTCTTTCCTGAGGAAAGAATGAAGAGAGAAGAAGGGAGACAAGCACCGGAACCAAAGAAGAGAGAAGGGAGACAAGCATCGGAACCCCAGCCGGAACCAAGAGGAACCAGCAAATCAGGATGGAACAGAACCTCTTTCCTGAGGAAAGAAAGAAGAGAGAAGAAGGGAGACAAGCACCGGAACCAAAGAAGAGAGAAGAAGGGAGACAAGCACCGGAACCCCAGCCGGAACCAGGAGGAGCCAGCAAATCATGAGGGAATAAAGGCCGTTTCTAGCAAGAATTGAGAACCCCATTCAGCTCAAGAGCTGTTTCGGGAAAAACGGAAAAAAAAAATCGGTGGGATTTTGAGCCTTGGAATGCCTTGGGTCTTTGCTTGCGAAAGTATGTGGATGTCCCATGAATTTCGATGGAATCTGAATGAAAGTAGGCGGCTCACCACTCGTTGGGCTTCCCCAAAACTACCTGTTCAAGAAAACTGCGAGAAATTGAGGGCACCGGTCAAGAGTTGAGACGGATCAACCACAAATCATGCTGATGGATTACCTGCAACAATGCTCTTCGAAACTGCGATTTTGGCCGCTTTGCAATTGCTAAAAAGTCAACAATGCGGTGGGCTCTGACGCAAGCTGCGTAAACTCGGAAACAATTATTTCACCGAACTTGATGGAAGAGATTGGAACTCCCCAACCTTCCCCAACATGTCATCACTACAACTTCTCCAAGTGACCGTCTGTCGCCATTTGACACAGCTCAAGTTCTCCAAAGCACAGCCTTCTGCTGGGCAGCTGTCGATTTCCGAGGCGTTGGACCAAGGTCCAAGGAAAACGAAGGCCCCAAAAACCAGGCGCAGCCACATCATCGGCCAGGACCATGTGTGACACACATGCAACAAATTCTCACGTTTTTCGGCTGTTTCGGCTGTTCAACTTTTGAAGGATGAGTTTTTTCACTTCAAGAAAAACTGCTTAAAATCCTGTAAACTCCTAGCTACACAAGAAATTAAGTGCAGCGGTATGGTTTCCAACATAGCCAGCAAGGACTCAAAATTTTGATCGGCAGAAGCTGAGCTCTGACACAGTTTCTTCGTTGAGACTTTGATTCCCAGCATTCCTTCGCTTTCTAGCCGATAACTTTTGTGATTGTAAGGATAGTTGCTGATTCTCAAGTGGGGTTGGGTGCTCGGAAGTTATCATTCATCTTCATTCATCAGGGGATGTGATGCAATGCCTTGTCTTCGAACACACGCGAGCCAAGGGCAAAGCATGGCAAAGCGGTTCCGACAGCAGGGACACGAAGTTGGCATGAGATCTGGAAGGTGTAGAATTCGAACTAAGATTATTGAAAACATACAGTGGCTTAAATTATAGATATTCTACCTACTGCATGTCATGGATTAGGTACCAATTATGCAAGTTATATACAATTGGTACCTGATCCATGCAGTAGGTAGTAGGTATAATTGGTATAGAATAATATAACTATATAATTTATATAATATATCTGGTTGGTGGTATACCTACCCCTCTGAAAAATATTAAAATCAGTTGGGATGATGACATTCCCAACTGAATGGAAAGTCATTAAAAATTCCATGGTTCCAGTCACCAACAACCAATCATGCCCTGCGCGGCGAGTCTGAAGAACAGCGACCCGTCAAACACAGGTTTTCACATCTTAACCTTGAAAAAGTTGGGGTCTTGGAGTACCAGGTATATATATATGTATATATGTAGATATATATATATATAGTATATGTAACTATCTGACTATGACTCATGCCTTCAATCCGACCAAGGTGCCATGGTTTCCACTCAGAAAATGCCTCAAATGATCTTGGCAACTCTGGTCCTCTGGTCCCGCAGTCTGAATCTTGGGCTGTTGCAGCCATGGGTTGCACGGTTGAAAAAAAACTGGCTTCATCACCATGATTTGTGCATGGCCCAATCGCTAGTGATCCCAACTGTAGCTAAATCCACGGGTGAATCATGGCTTAATCACTTCATCACCATTATCCCTATCAAACTGACAATCATACCGGTATATACAGTACCTTTTCAGGCACATCCATATCATCTTATTGGTTCATGGACCCAAGATAGACTCGTTAGTATTAATTATTGGTACAAAGTGGATGCGGGTAGCGGTAATTGGTGGGGGGGGGTGGGACCATGGTCCCGCAGCGCCTTTCCCATGGACTTGCTCTGCTTGAGATGGAGCATTTGGGCTGCAGCAATGCTGTTCCCAACTGTGCAAGAACCTTGCTGTCCACGCCGGATCGTCTTCACGGAGCTGTGCTAGGACACGTGTCAGGAACCATGGCTGCAGTATCCCGAGGCGGAACACGAGGCAGCACAATGAGCTAAAACAGCTGAAATTAAACCATGGGGTGGGTCACATCTCAAAATTAAACCAACTCAACTTTCTTCAGGATCTTAAGGAGGTGGGTGGACCCCCTGTAGTTTTCGTAAGATTTTTTAAATTAAACCAAAAAAATAAACCTAACTCAGTGTCCACCTGGTTTAATTTAGCTAGTGCATCCCGCATCAAAGTGGGGCCCCTAGATAGCTAAGTTGGTTCATAACTCCAATAACTATGGTTTATGGTACTTATAACTATAGTTACTGGGGCTTATAAACCAACTTATAACTGGGGGGCCCCACATTGTAAAAACATATAAAAACACCATTCTCAGCCATCCCCAATTGGGCAATTGGGCAAGTACCTGCAGCACGGTGTCCAGTCCATCAATGGCACCAATTGCCCACATGGCTGCCTAGCGGCGTTGGTTTCACCCCTAGCCCGGCTAGGTGGGTATCGCTTAGCTCACTTGCCAAAGATTTGGGTATAACATGGTATAACCATGTGGTTATGTCTGAAAATGGGGTATACCACCAAAAAAATAGCCATTTAGCAGCAAAACCATTGGGTGTAGGGGTACACTATTTTCAGGCAAACCCATGTATAACCAGCAGTAGAAAGGGGGGTTCAACTATTTTTATGACCCCATGAGCCATCCAAAAAAATGGGAACCAGGTGGTATAAGCTTAAACCACCCCCAATTGGAGCTTTGCGGCATTCAGTTTGCCACATAGTTTGCCCATTGTTAATTGACACAAAATAGGCCACATGATGCCATCCGCATGCCACGCATACGGTATACATAATGTCAGGGTTCAAAAGCTATGCACCCCCCAAATTGGCACCCAAAAACACTGGAACTTCGGGACATGTTACATGCATTCACTTAAAATTTAAAAGATTACATGTACTCCAATATTCATGGCTTTCCGTAGGCTTTCCGTAGAGTACACAGCCTGACATAGCCCAAAAATGCAGAGAGCCTCCCTCCTTCCGACTCCTTCCGATGCCTCAACATCTGCTCCATCACCTTTCAGACCCTCCTTGCGCACCAAGCTGGTTGGATCTTGAGCCGCTGATCTCATTTTGGGGGGTCATCATGGTTCATCCTCTCGCGTAGTATGCTGCCTACACAAATGCCTCAAAGCTACTTCTGCGGCTAGGAGCTACTGTGATTTGTTCTGATTGACTATCTCAGTTCTACAGGCAGGGTTCATTTTTCAAGGTTTGCTCTGAAATCCATGCCATGTTTCAAAGATGTACAAAGCGAAGTCTACGGATCTTCCCTGATGCAGAAACGTGCAAAAACATGCAAAAACTATAATGCAGTAGACCCAATGCCATAAACCATCCCCAACATCACCATTCTCATGGGTGCTATGTTTACCATCCCTTCATGGTGTTTTTAGCAGCCAGGGTTTCCCACATTGCTTGGCCAAAATGGGGATTTTACCGTTGGTTCCTTCCTTCCCTGCCACCATCCCATCTCCTCTAGAAGGACTTTCGATGCCCCGGCCGACCGAAAGGCCTGGCGGCTACGCAGAGTTGTCATTTGGGGGGATCTCCGCCACGATTTCAAGCGTCTCAAGCGACGTCTCACCCATGATTTGTTTAAAAACACGATTGAACGGTTGAAAAGTCAAAAAAAAGTTTGAAAAGTTTGGAAAAGCGGATGGAGTAAAGTCTTGAAAAGCTTCGAAAAGTTGAGGAAAGTCTAGAACATGTTTGAACAGTTTAACGATTTTAAATGGTTCAAAAAGGGCAACTTGGCACCTCACCGCGCCTGCACGGCTTCGGGACAGGCGTCTGCCAAAGTCACCACCAAGCTGGCAATGGCGCGACGAAGGTCCTGGGGCGTTTGCACGTTGGAGAGTGAAAGTCTAGTTCTATACTTAAAATTCCCCATCTACCCCATAATGTTACTAATATCTACTAATTTATATCATAATATATATATAATATATATACAAATATATATATATATATAAATATTGTATGTATCCCTACTCACTATATACTCTATATATCCCCATGATCCCTTCAATCCCACTGAATGATACGGCCTTGACCATCTTTGAGGTCACAGCTCCCGGTGCTGTCCTGACCATCAAAGCCTTGAGGAGCGTCTCTACTCAGCATCCGAACAAGCAAATGACAACCTGCCAGGCGGCCAGGGCTGTTGGTTAAACGAATCGCTGTCCAAGCATTTGTTGGGCTAGAAATGATGCTTTTCAGAATGGTTTTCCATGTGAAAGGTCCATTTTTCTCAAGGATGGCCCCAAAATCCTATGGTTGATCTTCAATGTCCAACTTGACACAAACGGGTGGCAACTCCCATGACTTTGGATATACCGCTAGACTGGGGGTACTTCATTTTCAGTGCAGCCACCAAAACATGAAGAAAACGGGGGGGAATCAGATCTTGGACGTGATGGAAAGGGCCGGCTCAAAAAATAATACAGTACATTTGTGGTGAAGCTGTTTCTCCATGCAGCAAAGTAGACAGGTTCTTGCATAAAAGCTGGCAGCCATGCCCCGTGGATAGCGCACAAGTTTTAATCTTTGAACGTCTCTATCAGCTGAGCAGAGACTATGGACGAGGCATGCTCCATGGAGTCTGTTGAATATGTTGAGTTGACACAGTGCATTGCTTGATCATTTGTTTGGGATTATCTCTAGCCAAAACCATCAACTAAGAACAACTTCAAACCTGTCCCATAAAATGTCCTGTCTTTTTTATTCCACATACTCCACGGTCAGCTCTTGTGAGTTTTGAAGGCCAGCCATGTGGTTGTGCCGTTTCCAGTGCGGAGTTGCCTTCAGAAAGGTGATTCACGTAGTGGAACTTCACTAACTTCACTGCCAGTTTATTTGGCGGGTCAAACATAGCTATTGAAACTGGCCGTTTCTAGTTGATTTAGCCATCAAAAATTGTGATTTTCCATAGTTGTGTTAGTTTACCAGAGGCTACCTACCCAATTTTTTTTGACAATCTTCAACTTTACCCTATTGGTCTAATATATTATATAATATGCTCTTCACCTTTTTGGGGACACAATTTGATTCCCAGCAAGGGAGTGATGCAGGGTCTGCCGCGCCGCCACTCACAGGCTTCGTTCTGAGCCAGACAACATCTCCATGCAACCTCAGTTGACCCAAATCCAAGGGGGACATCAAGCAACATCCAACGTCTTGCTATCTGGCTTTGAGGAACAACAGGATATACTGGTAATACCAATTCTTGCAAAATATGAGACTTCATGAGAACTCCTTACGAAAAATATGTCCGTATCTGTCCGTTGAAACCCATTCTGGCAACAAGTCTGGTGTTGTTCTTGAAGCTCCAATGGTATCCGCGGGGCCAGCCACCCTTGACATTTGGGGAGTCCATGCTTGGATGATGCCCAAATTAACAAAGAGGTGTAGTTGCTACCCATCGATATTTCTTGGGATGGTCACTAAAAACAACACGTTCCGAAGACCAGACATAGTGAATATGGA